CGATGGTATCGAAAGCCGCTGAGAGGTCAAGGAGAACCAGGATGGAGGGATGTCCTCCATCTCTGGCTCTCCAAAGATCATCAGTCAATGCGACCAAAGCGGTTTCTGTGCTGTAACTGGGTCTGAAGCCTGACTGGAAGGGGTCTTTTGAAGTTGGTTTTTGTGCAGTCCATTCTATCCATTGAAGTCTGCACCTGTCCTGTTTGGTTTCTGTACCAAACCAGACAGTTATAGAAGTACAAATGACAGACAGAATGATTGTTCTGTAGAACTGTATCAGCAGTTTCTGGGGCAGTCTGAACTTTCTGACTTGACACAGGAAGAACATTCTTTGTTGTGTCTTTTTAATTATGGTTCTAATGTTAAGTGTTCATTTGTTAAATATCCCAGAAAGGTATTCTTAATAAAAACTATGAAATAGGAACTTTGCCCCAAAATGCAATCTGGAAATATTTTAAATACATTTTTTGTTTTTGTTTTAAAAATGTATTTGGCATTCATTCTGTAGTAAGTACCACCTTGGCTCTTTATTTTATTGTATCTTCATCTACATTTGTAGAGACTTCATAACTTTTCCATTTTGCAAGAACGTATTTTATTTTCACATAAAATGAAGAGAAAACATCCTAAATATACATATAGTCCTTGACTTATAACCACAATTGAGCCCAAAATTTCCACTGTTAAGCAAGACAATTGTGAGCTTTGCCCCATTTTACAACCTTTGTTGCCAAAGTTGTTAAATTAATCACTTTACTGTATTGTTTGGAGTATAAGACACACCTTTTTCCCTCAAAAAAGAGGCTGAAAATCTGGTGCATCTTATGCACTGAATACAGCATTTTTTGCCTCCTGAAACTCCGCCCCCTTCACCAAAATGGCCATGCAGAGCCTTTAGGAAGCTTTTAGAGAGCTCCTGGGAGCTGGGGAGGGCAGAAATGAGCAAAAAACGGCCCTTTTTGCCCCCCTCCAGCCCCAAGGAGCACTCTATAAGCTTCCTAAAGGCTATCCTCTCTTTTTTTGACAAAAAACGAGCACGTTTTTGCGAAACACTGGCTTTTTTTGCTTGTTTTTGGTCCCACCCCCCCACTCCCCAGGAGGACTCTACAAGCCTCCTAAGAGCTAGTTGTGCCCTTTTTTTGGAAAAAAAAAATGGGCCCATTTTTGTGAAAAACGGGCCATTTTTGGGAGGTTTGCAGAGTGCAAAAACTTTTAAAAAAAATTTTCCTCTTCAAAACCTTGCTGCATCTTATATTCTGGTGCGTCTTATACTCTGAAAAATATAGTAGTTACTAAGTTAGTAACATGGTTATCAAGTGAATCTGGCTTCCCCATTTGACTTTGCTTGTGACAAGGTTGCAAATGAGCCGGGGACACTGTAACTATCATGAATATGAACCAGTTGCCAAGTATCTGAATTTTGATTATGTGACCATGAGGATACTGAAACAATCCTAAGTATGATAAATGGTCATAAATCCCTTTTTTCAGTGCATTATAACTTCAAATGCTCACTAAACGAAAGGTTGTAAGTCAAGAGCTATCTGTAGTGAAGGTTTTTTATTTATTTTATTTCTTTTGCAGCTGTTGGATCTAATGCATACCCTTCATACGCGAGCTGCTACCATCTACAGTTCTTGGGCAGAAGAGCAACAGCATCTGGAAACTTCAGAGAAGAAAATAGAAGCAAATTCTCGAGCATTATGGATCAATTGTTGGTGCCCATTGTTGCAAGGTAAAGCTAACACAACCTAGAAAAGTACAGGTAGTCCTGTAATGGAACCTGTCCATTATACTTTTAAGTCATGATGGTCATAAAACATGTCATCGCATGACCAATCCAATTTTACAGCCTTTTCCCAGCAACCATTAAGAAAATCACCACAACTGCTGTAGTCATTAAAAGCCTGCTGTTCACTATGGAACATTTTTGCCAAAACCAAAAGTAAATGCCTGTTTTTGGGCAAAAATATAAATTGCAATCACTGCAGAATGCTGCAAACAGCCATAATCTGCCAAGTATCTGAAATGCGCTTACATGACCACATGTCCGCCCGAACTTCAGAACTGAGTTGTAAGTATCTTTGGAGGATTGTGCATTGGAATTTCAAATGGTCTCTAAATGAACTACTTGTACAGGATGGCTTTTGGCAAGGGATAGTCTGTACTGCACAAGAACTGGGAAGAATGCATCTGGAAAACGACTGGCTTAACTTATCAGAAGGTCTTTAAAATAAAGTTGAGGGGAGAAGGGTGATCAATCTTTAGGATCTTTGGGAATTCCAATCACAAACCCCAAGATAACCAATCAAACAATGAGCTAGAGAGTGAGGGGAAAGAAGAAAAATCCAGATTCAAAGTAGGAGATATAGAAAGCATACCCAGGATCAGCCATAAAGGACTCAAATGCCCAGGGGTCGCCAACCTTCAACACTCAAAGAGCCATTTGGACCCGTTTTCCACAGAAAAGAAAACATTGGGAGCTAATAATTTAACAACCATGTGACTGAGTGGGCATGACCAACTCACTCACTCCCACCCAGTCACATGACCCACCCCCCCCCCACTACGCCTACCCAGCCGGTAATTAGGGCAGAGAACCGATTGTTAAATTATTTGCCCCACCCGGCACTGCCTCACCCCTCCCCTCCCAGGCACCTCTTGCCACACCCAGCCTCGGTGTGTTCACCTCCCTCCCTCCCTCCCTCCCTCTCTCTCTCTCTTTCTTTTTCTTTCTTTTTCTGTCACAGTCTCTCTCTTTTTCTTTCTCTCTTTTTCTTTCTCTGTCTTTCTGTCTCTGTCTGTTTCTCCCTCCCTCCCGCTCTCTCTCCATTGAGGTGGCAATAGCAGCGTCAGGAGCCACAGCAGAGGGCTGAAAGAATCACATGCAGCTCCAGAGCTGTGGGTTGCCAACATCCAGCCTATACACTAACACTCAAAGTTTAGGGAACAACAGGATGAACTTGAAGTACTAGTACATGAAAATAGGTATCTGTTCTGACTCCCCGGCCTGTGAATAAACCAGAACACAGGCTTGGCTGTTTGCCACTGTTCAGTTACTGAGAAAACGAATCCTTTGGTTGAGAGCCCAGGCAACTCACATTCAATAGAGTAGTTCTGAAGTGATGCAGATAGTCCAAACGAACAGACACGACTAGAATACACAGATAGACAGTCGAAGCAGCCCTTTTGTGGCAGAGGAGGCCGTTACTTCCGTCACCCGATACCGGCATGTCCATCCCTCCCATTGGGGGTCGCCTGGCTCTTTTTGCCAACCAATGGGAGGAAATTACTTCAGATGTGTTGATTAGAAATACAGTGAGGTCCCTTGAATTTATCTCCACACCCCCAAGGTTTTTCATGCGCAGCCAGTCCCCATCATTTCCTGTGGGGAAGAGGGGGAACATGTTTCATGTGCCCCACATGCACCTGCCATCCACTCGGAATGGCCTCATGTAGACCGCTTCCACAAACCCTAGCTACCACACCCCTTCTCTTAGTGGCAGCCATAAAAAGAGTGGCAGGCCCAGCAACACTAGGGCTGGCAAGAGTGTGCTGGAAACAGACAAAACTTCTGGCCCTGTCTTAATCAGCTGATCCACGGGCCTCCATTAAGGCCTCCCGAGCCTCAAGAATAATAAGACCTCCCTGAAAATAAGGCCAAGTGCTTATTTCGGGGGTCAAAAGAAAATAAGACCCTGTCCTATTTTTGGGGAGACACGTATATACTGTATATACCGTGCTCACATTTGTAAACCAGTAGCAAAGGTAAGTTGATTTCATCCCTGTATTCAACTGCCAACTTCACATCATTTATAAACTCAATTTTCTATGAAAGTCATTGCTCGGATCTACTAGTGTAGAACACTTGAACTTTGCGTTTTGTCTTGCCTTTGTTACTGAGGATTTTCATGTTACTTAGGAAGAGGTGAAAATTATAACTCCTTTTTGGATATAAGGTTATTAACCAAGAGTAAATAAATAGTTCTTTTCACATCCTTTTGTCTTCTGTATAGGGATTGCTTGTTTGTGTTGTGATGCAAGACGACAAGTACGGATGCAGGCACTGACCTACCTGCAGCGGGCTCTTCTTGTGCATGATTTACAAGCTCTTGATGCTTTGGAATGGGAATCCTGTTTCAATAAGGTAATGTATGTCCATTACAAGGAATGCTGTGTAGAAGAATGACAGCTTTTCAAAGGTAATAAGGATTGGACTCACTCTTATCACATGGTCTCGGAAATTTAGGTGAAAGACAACAATTAAGTTAAAAAAAACATTTTTTTTTAAATGATCAGGCTATGTTTGAGAGAGATTGCTCTATATGTATATAGAATTTATGCTGTTTTATTTGTACTATTAAGGATAACACTACTTTAGGCATAAGATACTGTGGAATATTTGGAAAAAAAGAAGGTAAATAATTGAACAATAACTCAGTTTAATGTGGGATATAAGGATGATCTCAATTGCTGCTAGATAAATCAGAGGGGAGGAAATTTTACTATTACTTTGAATGACATTTCACGTAACCATGCCAAATGGAAATTTCCTATTTACTAGTATCAAACAGTATTGCACATTAGCATTGCATATTGTAAGTGTGAGATTTGGATGAAACTTCATCTTAACATTTCAGCAACTTTAAATTCAAATTTTTATTTATTGATTTATAAAAATAATAAAGTTAGGGTGTAAATAAATCCACCTTTATTATTTTTATAAATCAAAGCGAATATACAGGTAGTACTTGACTTATGACCACAATTGTGCCCAAAATTTCCAGTTATTAAGTGAGTTTTGTCCTATTTTGCAACTTTTGTTGCCATAGTTGTTAAGTTGAAGTTAAGTTGAATCACTGCAGTTGTTGTTATTAACATGATTGTTAGATGAATATGGCTTGTCTATTGATTTTACTTGTCAGAAGATTGCAAAGGGTGATCACAAGATCCCGGGACACTTGCAACCATCATAAATACATGCCAGTTGCCAGGCATCCAAATTTTGACCACGTGACTATGGGATGCTGCACTAGTCGTAAATATGAAAAACGATCATAAGTCACTCTTTTCAATGCTGTTGTAACTTTGAATGGTCATTAAACAAATGGTTATAAGTAAAAGGCTACATGTATATCTTCATCATCCTTTCTCCACAGTAACAACCTGTGAATTGGATTGCAATAGCAATAGCAATAGCAGTAGACTTATATACCGCTTCATAGGGCTTTCAG